ACACCTGATTTACAGCTTGTCCTTACTGATTAACTCCTCATTTTGTTTGTCGCTTACATGATTTGTTTGTGGAATACCTGATGCACCTAACTACTACTGGGAAATGTAACTGGCAAATTATACTCAACTGCTCTACTGAGTGTTGGGTGCTAAGGGATGCAAATTCTTACTGAACGTTGCTTTTGGTGTGCATCGGATGTATTCAAACAAACAAACAAACAAAATTCTTTCTTTTGGATAGAATTTTTGTCTGAAGGTCTTTTTTATTTCTTACTAATATTTTTATTTTTGGARTAACTTGGGAAGGAGAACAACCAATAGCAGAAATTAAGAATTATYTCACAATTGTTATCAAATATTTTCCAATAATACAAAATCCAAGGCAGTGTGATTTCCTATAGTTTTCTCTGAGGACTTTGTGGGCCAGAAGGATTTAAGCTCATCCTGCAGCCTTTCTCTAAGGAAGGGTGCTTGGAGGCTTAGAGGATCTTTCTCCTCTACCACATAGGGCCCTAGAGGAATCTTTCTCTGTGGTATCTCCTTTGTCAACTTCTTTTGAACTTGTTCAATGTATCCGAAAGTGATTAAGGAGACATTCAGACACAGACAATGGCACAAAGTTACTGAATCAGCTTTGTTTCCATAGGAGACAAGCTGAAAGAAAACAAAAAAAAGAACAATGATAAAAGATCTGCKTTGGAGCTCAGGGGTGAGGAGGCCTCCCTGGACCTGCAAGATGAATTTAGTGCACCAAATGTTCAATTAGTTTCAATTGATACTAATTGGTTTATATCTTAAACTGGATAGATTAACAAGTAGGATGTAGTGGTGAAACTTTACTTCCACCCTTAACAGCTATTATAATTCTTGTTAAGGGTCTTGCTTTTCTAAGACTGATATTTGATGGTACTATCATTACCTGGTATCTCAAGGCCGTTTTTCAGACATAAACCTGATTAAGTAGTTTCCAGTTTCTGGAGTAACAGAAGCAAGAGGCGGGAGGAGGCAGAAGACTTGAGTCGTGATAGAGTTTTCTTGGAATGTCCCAGTCTAACTGCGCTCTAATTAGCAATTGCTTTCAGAAGAGTTGGCAAATATCACAAGGTCTGCAACAAACTCTCATATCCAAAAACTCAAACAAACAAAGCTCCTAAACTTAGAACATAGCTCTAATTTTGCCTTTTTGATGSTGATTTTGTACAAAATAGTGACTTTTCAGTCATGGAGTTCAAAAACTTTTWTTTTTTTCTGCTTCAAACAGATGTTTTCATACATAAATGTGTTAAAGTGTTGCTGTGATGATAAGGAAAGGAAAGGAACTATATTATAGTCTGTTTTCACCTAACATCTCTGTGGGCTGTTAGATATTTTAGTATAATAAAGTTTTAAGAAATTTTAGAGCCACAGCTACTTTGGGATCATAGCAGTTTTAGAAGTTATGAGCCACCTGTCTGCATCTGAGATTCTAGCTGTGAAAAAGAAATGCAAGTAATTAAATTATGAGCATGGGAACCACTCATTCATCAATATATTTTTTAAATATTAATTTTCTAATAAGTTGGAATCTCTATTGCTCAGATATTTCCTCAAAATTCCTTGAAATAGCGAATTATTTGTTTTCATACTTTATTCAGATGCAACAAAATTCAGTTATGGAAGGTTGTTTCAAATCTATGGGATAGGGTTATTGTCTTTTTTTTTTTTCCTATTTTTTAATTAATTTACTTACTAGCTTCTACAGACAGCTAAAAATCCCAAATGGATGTCTAAGCAATCATTGTGATTATACATAATTCACATACCATAATCAGAAAAACAGTCCTTAGTTGCAAATAACATTGAAATACTGAACTAGAACTACTCACAGAGCCTTTTCATGGTTCAATTCCAACAGCAAGAAAAACAAAATAAATAAGATTGTCTGAAACAATGTGCAAATAAAATGTGAAAGAAGACATTTTTTTCCTTTTGCAAAGCAGTACATAGTTCTTGTACAAAAATAGCAATCTACATGTTCTTTAGTAAAAAAATCTAAAGCAAGCATGGGTGCTTACTGCTTTCTATAGCCCTCTTTTATCGTTTTCCTGCCTAAGGAACATTCAAGGGAAAGGTGGTAACCGCACACCAGAGGTTTTATAGCTCAGTAAATAGGATTTCTGCCATTGCTACTTAAAGATGATGGGCTTTGTATTGGGCTGGACTTTTACCTTTTTTTTTAACAGATGTGCCAATGGCTGCSTATTGCCTAACCTAGCTAAGGTTCTGCAATCTTTATATCCTGGATGTCTGACAAACCTAACTAGAAAAAGAACCATTTACCTTCAGTTTCTTCTGTTCTAGACAAGTGTTTACCCATGAAAAAGTCTTCTGTCTTTTTTTGCTATGATCCAGTCATCCCATTTGTGAAAGTCTTTTACACAGGAACTGTGTTAATTGGGATCYCCTTTATCCCCACAGTCTTGGGGTCCTTCAAGAAAACTCTAATGACTTCCTGTGGCATGATTTTGATTTTTACTAAATCTTCCACTAATTTGTCCAGCACAGAAACTGAAAACTAAAGGGATTTTAAATGCCTCTACTTCCTTTCTTCSTTGTAATTTTTTTTTCTCTTTGAGCTGAACAAAGTGTGGCTTTGTTTTTTGCTGTTCCTTTTATCTGGGTCAAAGTCTTGTGCTTTTGAATTTCAGGAGCTCTCTAAAGAGAATCCTGCATTCACAGAGTTTTCTCTTAACAACTTCTGGTTCCCTAGGTATGCTCACTTCCATGTGTCAACCTTAACAAAAATCAAACCAAATTTTTTCCACAACTGTCTTACATCCTTTGTAATCAATCCTAATTGGTTAATCAGTGCTCCCCAGATGCCTTAATTAGGTGTGTGATGGTCAATACCACTTCTACTTAGGGAGCACTGGCAGGTCATAGGCTCTGTCCTAAGAGGCTGTGCTCTCTCCACAGAAATATTTTTCTATTTTCTCCAGAAAGGTGAAAAATTGGACACTAACACATGAAACTGTCACATGACAGATCCTGTGAATTAGGAGAGAATGTTCTTTTCATTAAATGTTAATTCAAACTTGCCCCTTTCAAGCAAATTCAAATCGAGCTGCTGTTGTTGCTCATCATCCTAAGACAAGGCAGTTTCATGTGGTATGGGAAGGTATGTGCAGTTTTCTGATTCCYAGTAACTGTCTTGATTTGCAGGAAAAAAAACTAGGAAATTAAGATTTGCATCATTTGCAAGCATTTTTTTGGTCCTGGAGACAGTTTGGCAGGRCTTTTCAAGACCTATGTTGCTGGAGTTGGGAAGGGCTTTGAATGCCCGTAACTGTAGGGGAATATTTGAACTAGAAGACAATTGTATGAAATAGTAATTATTATTTTTGAACTTCTACAAGCTTTTAAGGACTGTCTGGCACATTAAAACTAACTGTGAAATATTTTCCAGAAAGGAGGTGTCCAAAGCAGGATTTCAGCAGTAAGATTGAATCGTAAGCCCCTGAAAAGAAGGATTTGTAATAGAAATGCTCATGTTATGTTAACCATAAAGTGTAAGTAGTCCTAATAGAGAGTGYGATAATGGGCCTCATTGTACATCAATGACTTTTTTTTTCCCCAGTAGAAGTGATGGCCTGACTAGTTTATTTATGTAACCATGTATTAGCACATGCATTTATTCAGCTGTTAAAATTCGCTTACAATTGTTTTAGCTTTCTAAAATAAAGCATGTTTCTATTCCAAGGTTATAATGGACTTGCTAATGGGGTATTGACTACTGTTTCTTATCATCCATCTTCTAGGGGAAAGGTGTTCATTACTTTTCACTTAATAATTCCCAGTTTTCTCTACACTCACATAAAATTAGTTTTATTAGCTGTTCATTCACTTTGCATTTTMAGATGGCTCCAATGGCAGCTGAAGTATAATAAAGGTTTTTTTCCTGTATAAAATGATAGTAATCTTGGGGACTCCTCAGAACTAAGAACAATATTCTTAAGCCAATATCACATGCACATCTTTGGACTTGAAATTTGAGTGCTGTATTTCAATTGATAATGAAAGTCTAATCCAAAATTGATTTTTTWAAAATGCTTGGTGTGGTAACATCTCTCATTGAAATGAACTACTGACTATTTCTTGAGAAGAAAAAGTGATTTTTATAATGTAATACTTCACATATATCCCTGTGCTTTTATAAATGACTTTAAAGAGAGAAARTTTCAAAGTATTTTATCAGGCTCATCACAAAGGGAGGAAAAAGCATGGGACATCTSTTTCCCAGTCTTTCCCGTAGATGTTTGCTGTTTAATCAGCTTTTAYTAAAAAATACAATTTCTGGAGTAATCTGAGTGAGCTTGAGATGCTCCTGATCTACAGATATGCATACAGTCATATCACAGAAAATGACACTTTAACTGCAGTTCTCTCTTAGGTAGAAGTTGCATCCTATTCCTTGGGATGTAACTGTTTTCCTGAGTTCAAGTACATAAAAAACCTCTTTAGAATATTAAAGAATGACTGAACAAGAAGGATTAATTTCTTATAGCAAATTTTATCCTTTATAAGAAATTTAAATTATCCTCCAGGAAATTTGTCAGTATTAAGTATTAAAAGTTTTACTAGCTGTGAGAATCCTTTCAGAAATTAGAAGTATTTCAGTTTTCCAATTTAAAGTCAGTAACCAAATTGAAAGAAACTATTTGTCATGCAAGTTTAAAGTTAGTTTTAGCTATGATCTTTTTGCTGAAAAGAGTTCCCAGTTCCCGACACCTCAGTTCCCATGGTAATCTGTGGCAACTCAAGGAGTAAAAAGCTTTGTGAACACAATTTAGACAAGATCAGTCAACTATAAGGTATCCTTTGTAGTAACTGAGTTTTTCTTACATCTTCTGTTCCTACTGAGTTTTCTACTCTTACTGGTGTGAGAACATGGAATATTACATACAATATGAACTTAATAGATGCATAGAATTTTTTTTTTTCCCTTCTATGTAGAGATCTTCTGAGACTGTGATGTGGTCTTCCAACTGCACGATCTTTGGTGAGCTTTTAGAATGTTTTTCACACTTAAAGARAATATTTCAATTTAGAGCATTGTGAAAGAGTGAAGAGTAATTTTTTTTATCCACAATTTAGTGTAAAAGAGAGTCCTAAAAGAGCAATGAAAAAAAAATTCAAGAAGCTGTCACTTTTGAGATAGAACGAGAAAATGTTTACTATGTTCTCCTGACTGTATGCTGATCACCAGAGAAAGACTGAAAATGGTATAAAGATGTGTATTCAGATCTTACCATAATAGTAGAGATTAAAATAGTCATTTTTGGATGACATGTCAGCACAAGCTTATATTACAAACTCATAGTTAGTATCCGAAAACAAAATTTTAAGCCACAGAAGCTTATAAGCAACAAGAACAAACAAAATCAGGAATGACTACAGGTGCTGACRTCTTTAAAAAACATTAATTTGGATTTGATTTCTTTAATTATTACAGCCCATTGTGCCCACAATATTTTTTTTTGCCAGCTAGGAAGTATTTTTTGCCAAAACAGGAAGTATGACAAGAACTAAACCTACATTCAGATTAAAAAAAAAAAAAAGTAAAAGAAGTATATTCCTGCTAAAATCTTAGTTCCCCTGCACTACACAGATCAAAACTATTGATAAGTGTTTGATCATTTATTCTCTCATGGGCAAAAATACATCAATATAATGTCTTTTAATTTTGCTACTCAGGAGAGAGATTATATTTCATAATCCTAATATGCCTCCTTCACAAAAAATGAATTCTTAATTGCAGTGCTATAATTTAACCTCCTAAAATTAATAAATCAATAAAATTGTGTCTTAGTTGACATTATAGCTGCTAAGATTTCCTAGCATGCAAGTTATGTACTGCTTTATATCCAGTCCTAATCTTTCAGATCTCTTTTCGACTCCTTTAGTAAGCTACAAATAAAATGGCTAATACAATGATAGACTGCATTGAGATGGCACTGTAAACATTCTGGTCAATTAAGAAAAATTGAACTATTGCATTTCAGGACAAGCTGCTGAAGCAGTCTGTTTCAAAATCAGACCAGTAGCAAAGCATAGAAGATTTTTACTGGAATAGAAACATAAGATCTTCTAGTTTGAATACTCTTTGAAATGTATGTAAATATATATCTTGCAGGAGATCGGATACTACAGTGTTAGAGTGTGAATTTTTAAATTTATTTTCTACCGTTTTGAAGTTGTATTTGTTACTTGTATGTGTACTTCTCCTGTCTTCATATCTAGATAAAGGATTTGCATGTGGTTTTTATGGCAAAGACACTATTTTTTCGTGTAAATACTTTCAAAACTAGTTTCTTTCTTTAATCTTGTTCTTTAAGAAAAAAACAAAACCCTCAATAATATTTCATTTTAGGTTTCCATAGTGCCCAAGTTTTGGCTGTGTATGGACAAAGGAAAACATTTTTTTTTGTCAACAGTTTTGTTKTGTAGGTGTTTTGTGTAGGTGGAGCATAAAGAATATAGATTTTGTTTATTTTGATACCTTARTTTTGCATTTTTATTTCTTCTGGTATAGTTGGAAAATTTTATGTGAAGGAATCTCTGTGTTAATTATAAGCCATATGCTCCCATAAACTCATGCAGTGCACTGGGGAGCAGAAAGGAGAACATTTTGGAAAAGAGAATYAGAAGAAATCTGCTTAGAAAAGAGATGTTTCCTTACCTTTTGTCTTGCAACTATGGAATGAGATCCAAGGAGGAAAAAGACCTGCACTGCATGAATTATACAGGCATGACCAGTTTCTCTGTGCATCATACTTTTAATCCACTGAGATTTACAGTGCTTATGGCAATAGCATGAATGCTTTTGGCAGTAGAATTCACTGCTGTTCTAAGTTGCAAGCAGCTGCATCTGTTGCTTTCCTGCATGTTAAATTTGTCACCGGTGTCCTAACACGTGCAAAACTGCCTAAGCATGAGTAAGATTCTAAGGAAACAGGGAAATATCTCAAGATTGTCCTTGTCCGCTCTTGGCATTCGCAAGTTTTTGAACTGCTGGCTCCAAAATTCATTTTGTTGTTTGATTGACTTCCAGGAGCAGATGGTGCAGGAGAAGCAGCAGTTTCACCATAAAATTTATTAAAACTTCCCTAGTCTGTAGGGACTGTAAGTAGAGGAAATAACTGAAAATGCTTTGCAGACATTCCATGGACTGCATTGCATTGCTCTATTATACCAGTGCATTTGCCATATAAACAGATTTTAAACTTAATCTTATTTTCTAATAGAGAAAAAAAATCATCCTATTTTGCTTCTAGCAAAGAGGAAAATGTCGGAACATTCAATGCTTTATCCTACACATTAGCTCCCAATAAAAATAAGATAATTGGGTTATGGCAAAAATAAAATAATTATCTTGATCTGTGGTACAGAAAAAAAGTTGAATTGTGAAAAAAWAAATAAAGCATACATATTCTCAGCATGCAGGAATGAATTTGAGAACCATTCTGATCCTCTACTTAAATGATTATGCCTCGTACTTTGCTCACACAATATTCTCTTGTAAGTTATTACCCACAAGAGTTAAAGCTTACTTGCTTTGTTGTTTGCATTTGTCTTTTTCTTTGCCTCTGGTTTTCACAAGTAGTGAAACTATAAGCTTCGGGATGATGAATTCCTTTCTGCACATCTGCTAACTAGTGTCTTCATCCACAGTGATACATGAAAACAGCAGGCTTAATCTGTAATGCAGAGAGCAGGACCCTATGATAAACTTGAGGGAAGCTCTTTACCTTCTAAGGTAAAGAAAGACAAATCTGCGGGTTTTTTTTGTTTGTTTTGTTTTTCAAAATATATATCATATTTCCTCTGGAATGGCAGAAGAAATAGATATTGGAATGTTTTATTTGCACAAAGCACCCTGGGTGCCTAGAGAAGATAAGAGAAAAAAATTCTACTGGGATATTTTTAATATATTTTTGTCTCGATATATTTCTTCTCATAAACTTTGTGCTATCCATTGCCTAGTGAGATATTTTTTCATATCATTACATTATTCTGCAGGCACTTGGGAAAAAAAATTGTATGCTATCAAGAGAGATATAAATCCCTTAATAATGGGTAGATCTTTTTAGCCTGTATTCTTGGCAAAAAAGGACAATAATGAAATTACTACTGCATCCCAGCTAATTCCCCGGAGAGGAGTCTTTGACTTCCTCTTCCAGAGGAAAATGCTTAATCAACTCCTTGGGTCATTCCCACTCCATTGCTCTGTGTTTTTTCTGGACGTGARGAAATGAGCAGACAGATTTATCCCATCAACATCCTCTCTGTTGAGCTAAGAGTTGCTTKGTTTTCTGATTAAAAATGTGGCAAGAGTGGAGAAAATGCAGCATAAAATGTGATCAGGGAGTGATCTGGAGAGCATGGGATAAAATCTGAAATTTATATCAAAGCAATGGTATCTGTGTTATCAGTGCTGTGCTGAGAGGGAGTAAGTAAAGTCTAGTCAGGTCAAATTATTCTGAAATCAGGACCTTGTACATATTTCAAGGTAACAGCGAGACCATTTAAAAAAGATGTCCATGAGTACACAAGAAAAACACATTAGAGTGATCAAGTGGTGTAATAAAGAYGAATGTTTGCAAAACATTTTTTTTCCCCTATGAAACCAAGCCTCTATTTCAAATCCCTAAAGATCAATTTTTGCCCTAATCTTGTAGTGTCCCTGCTGTTCTAGTGCTCCTACATCTTTGGTGTACAGTGACATCAGTGACAGAGGCAAAAGAGTTGTAGGTGTAGAGGCAAAGGTGCTGTAGGCATGCATCTGGCTGCTGAAAGAAGGTGTGCTTCCATCCAGCAAATCATCCAGGTTCACACAGACTTTAGTTACAGAGGTAAGCAACTGTAATTTTCAGGCCACAGGTAACTGTACTGGCTGTAAATTAGCTCTTGTGGTCCAAGATAACCTGAAGCCACTTAAAAATCATCAGATAACAATAGTCAATGGGAAGCTGGGAAATGACAGCTATCAATTAAAATAATGAAGGAATGGATCAAGGAAAGTACTAGGAAATAGAGAAAGCAGAAGCACATCTATTATCACAAATTACATCCTGAAAAAACAGCACAAGTAGCTATGTCTAGAAAGCTATTGCCTCTATTTTAGCTTCAAGGTTGATTACTGTAACTAAGGGGTCACTGGCCCAGTCACAGAGTCAGCTAATATCACCGTAGCTGCTTTGGGAGAAATATTCTCTGTGTGTGAAGGAAATCCTACTGCATAGATGTCCTAGGAATTCCTAGGGTCCACAGGGCTGAGACTGCCCTGACATTTCATTAATACCATTTAGCTTGATCTGTGAAAGAAAGAATAATAGGCAATGCCATGGTGATAATTTGGGGAACTTTATGCACCATTTATGTAATTTTTCTTTTTAAGTTTGAACTATAGAAGTCAACAATTTACCTCATGAGAGGCCTGGAACACCTGAACACCTGTCAAGATTTAAGATACATCATCTCAATTTAACAAGTAAGAAAGAGAGATATTTCATTGGCAGTTTAGGCTTACTTGTACCAACAATACATAGACACACTGTACCTGAGAGAATAACTAGTTACAATGGAGTTGGATTTATCCAAAGAGTCTGTTATTTTGTATTTTCTGGAACTAAGTAGAATACTCTGCCTTTCTAAACAAGCACAAATTCCATCTGACTGCTTATTTCATTCCAAGTATCACTGAAGAGTTGCACTCTGACCTTATATCTTCTATATGACTTGAATAATTTAAGCTTCTGGTGAATCTTGATGGATCAGCCTTGTAACCTGGACCTAATACGGCTAACTTRAAAATTTCCTGCATATATACATCCATTGTGGTGGGACCCCCACAAGAAAAGACGTGGGCAGAAGAAGGCTGATCAGAATTTTATGATTATTGTATCTATGATATGAAACTGGATATAATCATACAGATCTTTTTATCTATTAATTTCCATGCTAGTTTCTGTATTCAATGTTAGTCCTACGGGAAAGGAA